GAGACTGCAATCCGGTGCGATAAACAACGAACACCTGACCATTAACTACGAAAATTGAATAACTGGCCAACAAAAAATAGTAATAACAAACGTAAGTAAAAGTGAAAAACAAAAACTCATGCACAGCAAATGTCTAATATAGAGAGCGAGGAAATATGAAGACCATTATGTCTGCTTTTATTTTTCTCCTCTAGTGCAAAATTAAAATGAAAAAATAAAAAACATGATTTTGTTTGTATGCAGAATTTTTAGTTAATTTTTATGAACTAATTTTTTATTTTTTTTTTTGAAAAGCATTTTTGTTCAATTATGAACTTATTAGCTGAACAATCTACGATTTCTCGAACAAACATACAAAGCTCACCAATCAACCCCACCACACACAAATGGCAATCATCTTTTTTTTTTTTTTTTGTTGAAAAGCGATTGTTAATAAGTGATACGAACTATTGGCCCGCAAAATTCTATAGCACGTACTCGTATACAACTTAGCTTACTTACATAGCTAACTCGCCCGAAAGCGGTCTCTGGGTCCATCATTCGTGGTTCGTTTTATGCGCGCCCCACGGTCGGCTGATAGCGCGGCAGGGGGAGGGTACGAGGAGTTCGGTTACGAAAGCGAGGGGTAATGAGATTCGTGTTTTCAATGTTGTAAATGAGAAAGCAATTATGAACGGTCGAATGATTTCTGTATTACATTTCCACTGTTTCGATCGTACAAAAGAAAGAAAAATATCCTGCAAGCGCGCGTGGTCGCTGTGCTTTTAATGAAACGCTAAAGCATTGCGCGGGAAGTATTTATGTAGCTGTGAAGCAGAAGGAACGCAGAAGCGCTGGCGGAAGCGTGCTAATTAAATGCAATTGAAGAGAGAGAAAGGAACAAATATTTATTTGCTGGAAACGCGTTTCATTGTTCATTTTGCATTTCGTAGGATGTCGATTGCTTAACTTCTGTTTTAATGCAATTGTCTATAAATATACATATCAATGATAATTACTTTCATTATAGTTGTTGTTGTTTTTGTGAGCATTTTTTTACTGTGTCAATAATTGTGTACATTTATCAATAAATGTTTAATGAGCATAATTAGCACTTTTGCCATTTATTACTGTGTTAATGGAGAACTTTATTTGTTTATTTTCAGTGAGATCTTACAGTGAGGTAATTATGATTTGGCGTGCAATTTTTTAATCGGCACTTAAGAAGTATTTTCGTTCCGTTTTTTTTTTCTTAAAAGAGTAAAAGAAAATGTTGAAAGTTATTTATATCCAATTCGAAGGTCTTACTGAATTCACATGCTGAAAAAGTGGTGCACGAGTAATTAAGTATGATGTGTATTAGTAGCAGTAGTAGTAGTAGTAGTAGTATTAAGTGTGATAGTAATGTAGCTAATTATGTACTTTTGGGCTAAGGCTAGCCATTTATAAAAGATTTTGGTTCCATAAATTCGAGTCGGAACACAGAGGAGTCAGTGCACGTTTTATCAATAACCTAACCTAAACATACAGAAATGCCAATTTTCGAGGTTTTGTTTTGCAATTTTCAAACTGTGCCTGAACAGAGAAAAAGTTCGGATCCAAAATCGAACTGATAGAAATAACTCTGTTTTATTTCAGTATTAAAAATCCATAACATTTCAAAAAAAGACTTAGCCACTCCTTCTTTCGAGATTTTGACGTTTCAGTGGAGCTGTAGCCATTGTACATACATTTATCTCGTTTACCTTAAAACAACCACCTCGATTTTTGTTCTGTGAACGAGACGATAAAAATGACTTTACTGTTATTTGATTTTATTTTAATTGCTTTGTTGTTGCAATATAGAATAATTTACAACAGTTGAGTTGATTATCTGTTCCCAGCAAATATTTGGAGTCATAAATGAGTTTGTAAGGACTCCTATATCGGAGCCTATTTTTTGACCAACTTCCCGACGACCTAGGGACTTGAAACTTCACACGATAGGTGGAGCAGGAGTCGAGATATTTGGAAACCCCGTATTTATAGTCCGATTTGGTTCATGTTTATAAAGTATATCAGCTACAATAAAAAGAATAACTGGACCAAAAATTTTGCCGATAGGTGCGCATGAGTCGATATATTATGTAAACTAGTATTTATGGTCCAATTTCGTTTACATTTAGAAAGCTTGCTTTAAGAGTATTTGTTTTTACTATTAACTTATTAGACTCTTATTCCCCTCATTTGTGACTCATTTAGGGGCCTTTTTTAGGTCCTTATATGACGTCTATTGGCCTTATACATACACCACTTTTTCTCATTGATTCCACAAAAAAAAAAATTTGTAATAAATACATATAATTAAGAAAAGTAACAAATCCAAATATCCTAATATAAATATTTGATAAATATTTGTTATTGATTTAGATTGACTTAGATATGCTTTCATTTTTTTGAAAATCTGCTGCTACAGACTTCTGCAAAGATGTAATAAATATATATACATTTATACATACACATATAAAATAGATTAAAACATTAAATATCTCTTTCGTGCCTGCATACATATGCATGTACATCCCTTTAAAAGAAGCAGTTGCAGCCAAATTTTGTTTCCACTTAAGATTTCAGCTCGCTGGTGCTTTGAGATTGCAATTTTTTTCGTCCCAAGTTATATAGAATTTAAAAATCTAGCTATCTGAAATTAAATCTATAATTGCATAAAGGATTTTTATTATAAAGGCTAATTACATTTATCTTAGGTTCATTTTCGTGACATTTTAATCCATTGAATATCATAGGTCCACAAAAAACCTATTTCAGAAAAATTCCAAAACAGCACTGATATTTCTATGGCATATTTAGATCGGTGTGTTCGGATATGCCCTCCGTTTTTTCTGATGGGCTCTCATTTATGAATAATTACGAATTGTGTCGAATTGCTTTCTCAATTTAAATTAAATAAATAACTTAAAAATATACAAAAAGAATGAAGTAAAGTGTTCAAAAGACCCATACTTTCTCGTCGAAATTGAGTAAAGGGTGTTATTGTCCAGCTTCATAGTACTTCTAATGATCTTCCGAAATTGGGGACATATGTATAATTCAGTAAATCTCGGTACTTAGCTCCGACAAAAGCATTTGAGTATCGATCATACTTTTCCGCATTCATTTTCTTATATTTTTAAGTTATTTTTACTGATGAAGAAAATAGAAGCAAGAAACTAGCTGTGCATCGATGTTCTCCACCGGATCTTTGACAAATAATATTCGATCAGACTAACAGAATTTTAATTATGAGATCATCGAATCTCCCTATAACTAGCCGTTGAACATTTCTGCTTGGAATCCCTTTTGAAGGATCTTAGACTTCGAGTTTAAAACTTGTACTTTATTATTATACTTAACTTTTGTCAAAGATTTGTGTAAGGAAAATTTAATAACAGCTCCAAAACTTTACTGATATAGACTTGTGAGGTACCAGCGGAAAGGTATTATTCCACCCTTTTAATTTCTTTGCAAAAAGTCTCATTCACGTCCCAATTTTTTCTTTACCAAATACTAACACATTTTAATTCAACATGGAATGACGTTTATCTTGCCTTCCTATTTCATACCCTAAATGACCTTAAAAGGGTGAAAAATATCTTACCAATGATATTTCATAAGTCTAAATTGGTAAGGTTTTGGCTAAGCTATTCAAGTTTTTCTTAAGCCAGTATTTGAAAAAAGTTCAAAAAGAGCATCAAAAATCTCATTATTATGATTCCGCAGAAAATTAAAAAAAAAAAATATTTTTATGGAAATTTTTTAAGCTTAACCTGTTTAGTCATCTGAGGTGATTATTTTCAAAAAAATATTTAAAAAAAAAACTGTTTCTATTAATGAAAAACTCAATTCTTGGAGGTTTTTTCATATCGGTCCAGCTCACGTAAATCTTAATATTTTTGCGAGATATTTTGGTGAATATCTTAAAATATAATAGATTTTAAAATCCCAGTGGAAAAGCAGTACCGATTTTTTTTGTATGGCGAGTGATGCAGTCTAATGTACATCTATAGAAAACACTCCAACTTTCTTGGATTAAAAGTTTGCCATTGATATACGTAACTATCATCCAAGAGGAGGACAGTTATATTTTCTATACCAACTGAATGATAGAAGTGCGGAGTCTATTTTATACGTGACGGAAAGACAATTTAGAAATCAAAGTATTGTCAAAGATTTCAGTTCATAAAAACTCTAAAAGTGTTTGTTTTTTTTTGATTTGATTTGATTAACAATGAGTGCTAGAATAATTTCTAAACCGAAAAGTCATTAGCTTAGTGCTGACTTTTGATTAAGGGAACTTATTAGAGCTCCACTCAGAAACAAAATATATACATAAATACATATGTATGTGAATGATATTTATGTCAGAGCGTATAAGCGCAAATTCTCTTTGAATTCACAAACGCAATTAAAAACAATCAAAGACAAATTCAAATGCATATTTTACAAAGGAAATAAATTGGCGCTGGCCATGAGCAGCAATGTCGGCTGCAAAAGGAAAGTGTGCAGCGCAGCCAGATCTGAAAATATGTCACAAGGAATGCGCATACCAAGGCATACAACAACAAACAACCAGCAAATTCGACAAAGTGCCAAGCGACGAAAGTGACAACCGATTTATTTTCACATTCCATCACAGATGGGCTGGGGTCAAACGGAGAGCAAGGATGAGTAACTTGCACTTACTTTGTCGTCAACAACTAGAATTTCTTGCAAGCTATGTGGATATTAATTTCAATTTTTTCGTCTATTTTTGTTATTTACTATCCATGTCGCTGCTACGTGTCGCCGCATGAAAATGGAAATTTGTTGCAAACGACACAAATGACGCACAGCAAAAATAACAAACACTCTTTACTAAAACTAATAAAAAAAGTTCAGTAATATTTTGAACCGAGAAAAAGCAGACGCAGCAGAGGCAGCGAGCTATGTACAGTGTGAGAGGTAATAAAGAGGGGGACGGGGGCTAAAAAATAGTCTCAACTTACATCGACATTAATGCCAGACACGGGAAAGACCAACGTGGGCGGTGACTCCTTAGGCACGTAGCGATAGAATTCCTCGGTGCCGAAATACCAGCGCACTGAGTAGAGTGCAGCCTGAAAAGAGAGTGAGAGAGAATGTGAAAGAAAATTAGTAAGAGTGAGTGGCTGAGATGTGAAAAAAACCAAAATAAAATAAAAAAGTAAGTATTTATGTTTGTTGGTATATTCATTAAAAATAAAACGCGTGCAAGAACGCGCAGCAGGAGCATGGCACAAGAAAGTCACTGATGCCAGCGTGTATCAGCAGGCAAGTGGCAAGGAATTAGAGACGAATTACCGTGCAATTATTTTAATTGAGAAGCGCGCAGTGAGTGGTGGCACGATACCAGCTGGCAGATATGCTACTTGCACAGCAGCTGCAAGCTAGGTAAAGCGGACGGCGGGTGGCCAGTCGGGGCGAATATGTAGACGATTGAATGGAAAATGATGCCAAGTGGCAAGTAGCAGCTGCAGAAAAGGCACGAAGCATGTGGCATGCGACAAGTGGTAAGTTAAGTAATGCCGATAGAATCAGTTGATACCATTTGAGTGAACACGCTGCTGATAGAATCAGTGGGTACCATTTGAATGGTCCCGCTGCTACCAAGGAAGTTAGAAAACTGAGGCTTTTATGCTAAGGTAAAATTATCGGGATTGCTTTGGTCAAATTAAAAAAAAAAAAACTTGCCTAAAATTCGATACAGTCTATACCTTAGACTTAATATTAAAAATAAATAAGGAAAAACTGAACGTTTTGGAGTTTAAAATTTTAGAGTTTAGATTTTATCCTCTCGAAACTACCGTGGTATAGAAAAGTTTTAGAGATATCCTACAGTTTTATAAAAATACTATTCTGGAGAGCTAGCTACTGTCGAAATTTGACCGGTTTTCTAGTTTTAAGAGAATCTTTGGAGGACATGACAGGACTTGGAAATGACTCGACACATTTTAGTTTGTCGATAAATTTCGATAACCCAAAATTTTTCAGATATATATCGATAACTCGATAAATTTTTGATACCTCTATAAATTTTAATAACTCGGCTAATTTGGGTAGCTCTGTATTTTTCGAAAGCTATCGTGAAACTACGATAACTCGTTACACTATAGTAACAAGATAAAATGCGATATGCAGTGCTAACCTAATAAACATATATAACTTTGAAATTTCGATAATTCGATATATTTTGAAAACTCCAGAAACTTCGATTCGAGAAATCGAAAAATTTTATTAGAGCCTGTTTTTTTTTTGCTAAAAAATCAAGCTACTAACGAAGAAAAGCTATTGCGAAATTCCTACATGGCGTATGAGTAACATTTAACATGTTTAAAGGCTGTATAAAGTACTCAGGAAAAATCACAAAAAAAATCTATTTCATTATTTGACTCGTTTATTTTGAAGGATAGATAAGTCAGTTCATGCCGGTTAACTTCAGCGACCTATACAAGTACGCCTATACCAAGGGTAAGTCCACAGAAGCAGCAGTCCACGAGATCGTGGCGCATATCGCAAAATTCAATATCTTGCAAGGAATACGGTCTTGTAGCATTCCTAGACATAGAGGGTGCCTTAAACAACATCTTACTCGCATCCATAAAGACAGCGCTGGCGGATCTGGGTATCGATTCCCCACTGCTGACGCGACCAATTGCTAAGATGAAGAGTTATTCAGACCGATCTGGCGGGGATCTCGACGAGCAGTTTTTTCAGTAGGGATACCCAACAAGACGGAATCCTAACTCCCTTCGTATGGGTCTTGCCAGTAGTCCACCTGCCCATAGGCAGGACAGAGCAGGGGTTGCAATGGAAAATTGCCGCAAACATTGTGTGATGTTATGCAGGGAATACTAAGGAGGGTGGAGAAGTGGGCCAAAGAGGATGGCCTAGGAGCAAACCAAAGCAAATACAGAGAGTGCAGACGACAAATATGAGTACAAATGCCATTCCGACTTCCCGACCACTGTAGCGTCTTACAAGCCGAGCTTACGGCCATAGAAGAGGCTAACGAGTTGTTAAGGACAGGAGCAGTAGGGCGCAACAACATCTACATATTTTCAGATAGCCAAGGGGATTTAAAACCTGGGGATTTTGTCCCAAGCATCTCGGAAACTGAAGTGAGTTGCCTCAGATCACTCAACGTGATGGAAGAGCAGTTCACACTTCACCTGGTATGAGTGCCGAAACCCAGAGGTATACCAGGCAATGAGATGGCGGTTTCGCTCGCAAGGTTGGGCATTCCGTTCGCTACATGCAAGCTCAATATTTGCTTACCGGTCACATCCCTCTAGCTAGGAGATTGCCATTCAATGATTTTTGCAGGAGCTGCAGGTACGAGGAGCCCAACCTAACCTTACCTAACTTCATTGATCTTCTACCAGTATCTGAGCGCGTCTGTCATCCTTTCAACTTCAACAGCCCAAGGTAACAAATTTTTTTATTAATTCATGGCGCTCGAACGATTCACGGATACATTCAGTTAGAAGTAACCACAAGAGGTGGAAATGACTTAGGCCACTTTCAGAAAAACGGCTTATTTCTTTTGCTAGGAAAAGTACTTTACTTTTGTTGTTGCATCTTTATATCGAGATCGGCGTACCGATTTAAAAAATAAGTTATACAGATCTGTAATCTTTGACACAAAATTAAATTTACGTCTATCGATGTTTTTTGTGTTAGTTAAGCGGCCGTGGAGGGTTATTGGTGGAGGGGAGCCATTACAAGGTGAGGCAGCGTAGCACATACCTATGTATGTAGATACTTATCGTACGTTTAATAATTATTTAAACGGGATATATCCGGCGTGCGTCACTGTACTTTAAAAGTAGTTTGTGTTGTTTGATACCCGTATTATTATATTTCATTTATTTTATCAATTTAATGAATAAATTCTTTAAAAAAGGTGGCAACACTGCTCGGCAGTAAGCCTTCCTAAACCTCTTCAGTTTCATACCCAAATTGCAAACCTACTTAATTTATCGTACCAATTAAATTAAGTAACGATTTTAAAACATGTGGCAACCTCCTCAAAAATGCTTTCGGCTGTAGGCCTTTTTAAACCTCTTTCTTTTGGCAGTCACACTGCAATATTTATTTCATCTTATCAATTTATTTAATCTGCAATTTTCAAACAGATGGCAACTCTCAATTTTTTTCTTTCTACGGTTTATAGGCACCATATATAGTGCGTCTGACTTGCGAGTCATTTGTGTACGTGTTGACTCGCCTTCGACTAAACACAGTTGAATCATTCAGAGTCATGCCAGGAGTCATGTCGGTGTAACTAACACATATTTAATTTCACAAACACATCCAAACCGACTCGCGAGTCAGACGCGTGTCTGGTGTGTATGCCGCCTATTACGTTAGACCTCTAGCAATACATCGGTGAAAAACGCATTCAATTTCATGCATTCGTTTTCGAGTAATCCGAATAAAAACGTACAGAAAGACAAAAATTCTAAAAATTGTTGATTGGGCTTCTATTGCTCTAATAAAGGCCACCCATAATTAATTTTTTTAAATATATATAATTTACAGACATCAAAATGTTACAGTTTCATTATAGTTTGTATGTATACAGTGCCGGATAAAAGTATTGGCACAATATTTGCAAAGTTTTTTATTCTAATTTATGTATTTTCGATAATTTTTTACAAAAATATAGTTCGACCTACTCCAAAAAACATAAAATTTGCAACTTTCTATTCTGTTTTTGTTTTTTAATTCTAAGTGTACAGTTTTATAGCCCATCTAATTTCAGTGTAATAAATTGCAAGCTTGAAGTTGCTAAAAAATCGCGTTGATTAGGTTCTTCCTTACAAAAATGTTAGACAATTATTTTTTATATGGAGAAAATGAGCAACACCCTCCACTAAAAAAAATTGCTACTTCATACATTGCATACTGCAAATTTGCACCTTGTTATACCAAAATTGCATACTTAGAACGAACTTTATCTTTATTAAAAAAATATTCGAAATAAATTAGCGTAAAAAATCTTTGATATATTGCGATAAATTCTCTGCGCCAATACTTTTGCCCGGCACTGTATGTATGTACACTCTTATTTATAAATAAACTTAAACATACCTGCTCCAAATCGTATTGACATGAAAGCGTCGCTGCATTGCCCATGATGACCGCCTCCGGCACGAAAATCTTCAGATCCTTCAAACAGTGTGCTGGCGGGTGACATAGCGTATAAGTAACAATTGGTGAGGGCAAGTAGGTAAGTGAAGAAAAAAAGACAAACAAAAACGATATTAGTTGATAACTGCAATGTTTAATAAAATTTAAAATCTAGTAGTAAATGAATTCGCAGATATGTTTTATTAAATTTTTGCACTCTGCTACTAAGTATTTTTGTGATTTTGCTTTTATTTTTGCAACATTGGCCAGTAAACCTTTGAAATGCGTAATTTTAAATTTATAATTGTTCATCATATTTATTTTAACTGCAGTGCAAGATAACAATAAATGCGATTATAGAAATTAATTAAGCTTAAATTATGAAAATTATTTTATATTGCTGTATGCTGTCACAAAAAGGCAATAAAAAGCATTGTAAAAAATTTCAGAAAATAAATTTTGCACACAAACACGCCCACTGCTGCACAAATATACATACAAACAGTGCCATTATATGGGCGTATAGGTGCCAGAAACAGCATCGCCACGGCGCGCGCCATTGCAATGTCAACAAGCGGTCTGACATTAAGCACAGACACCAAACGATTGACAATTCGCTACACCTACTCACATACACACATTTGCAGCAGGGTTATTATGCGGTTTCGCCCGCCCAGCTAACAGCGCATAAAATGCGAAAACAGTTGCAAAAACCAGTTGAATTGTATTAAATGGCTAACAAAAAACTTAATGAATTGTGGAGATGTCTGACAATGCAAAATGCGAAAGAAAATAGCAATTTGAAAAAATTAAATAAAATAATAACATAACAACATCAGCAAAAGCCGCACAAAGTATGCGTACAACATATGCGTGGCGCAGTAAGTTGGCTTATGTTGCCATCATGGTTGTATGTATGTATGTATGTGCCTTAACATTAGCACAATACGTTGCTGCGCTTGACACATAATTAAGTGGCGTTCATGAACAGCAGCCATTTAGCCAATTTTGAGGGAACGCGTTTGCTGATTTCAGCAGCGCCAACCGCAAAGTAGACGAGTGTCATTAAGCTGCAGGCATACAAGTTGAGTATTAAGGGCCAATGTTAAATAACGACGACTGTATTGCTTTAAAACTAAAAGTAATACTTATTTTAGGCAGAAGCTATTGCCAACTATTACATTTGGTTGTAACAGATCTCCCATTTGCTTCATACTTACACATGCAGCGTATGTATGAATTGTATAAATGCAACTGAATGCTATTGACTGGTTTTTGTGTGCTTATAAATTCAGTCGCATTAATCATGTAGCAAAAAATATAGCCATAACTCTAATTGATTATTTAATACAAAATACAAATACTCGTAATATACGCAAATATGAGTACTACTGTTTCTTTTATGGCATATTGATTCATTAGGCAAATTCACGTTTTAACAAAAATTGTTGTTGAAAAAGTTGTGGATTTAGGGGTTTTTGCTGATTTGCTAGCTTTTGCCCACCGCACCGCCTGCGGGATATGCGCTTTAAATGTTGCGGCTGCTCTTACCCAAATAACTATTTCAACACTTCTGTGGCATGCCTTCTCGTAACCCTTCTACTGCAATATTTGATCCAGCTGCACCACTAAGGGCTAAATTCGCAGCGCATATGTAGTTAAACACAAATTTTTAAACCAGCATGCCCAGGAATTTCAAATTTGTATAGAAAAATATTGTTTTTTTTTTTTAATATGTATGTATATCTTCAGGCGATATGATTTTCCATAGTTAACTATGTGAGTTGGCGGCCGCTATAGTGTAGTGGCCGCTGTTGGTAGTGGTGCGCGCTTTTACCTCGCAAGGCACGAGTTCAAGCCCTGGTGAAAGCAACAACGCAAAAATATAGAAAAAAGGTGTATTCTTGACAGCGGTCGTCCCGCAAACCTCCGAGTGTATTTCAGCTATGAAAAACAGCTTCTCATCAAAATACAATAGCCGTTCGGCCAAACCTTTACATATGGAACGATTCACGCCAAATGTGCCAGGCGCGCTGAGCGGTGCAAAACAAGCTGTTTTTCAGTTTTTTTCTGGCATATTTTTGACAGTCCTAATTGGGGAACGTACACATACTACGGGACCCACTTTTTCCAATTTTTAATCTTCCACTCAGGTGACGATATGCAATATGTACAGTATTGGACAAATCTATAGCACCCCGCTTTCAAAGTGATATTGTTTATTTTTAAGAATTTTCGTTTAAAATACAGTTCATTCTCTAACAAAATTCATAGAAACCCTAGTTTAAAACTTTTTAAAAGAATACAAAATAATGCAACAAATGTTCACCCAAATTTCAAACTTTTTTCTCCGAAGTGCTAGAATTTTTCTGTGTACGCAGTTTTAGAGCCCATTCAATTTTAGTCTAGTAATGCGCACGTTTCAAGTGGCTTAAAACTACCGTTGAATTTTTTAAATTTTTCTTTGGCATTTGTTTCCATATAACGAATAAACAAAATTTATTTTTATATGGAGGAAACACGAAACGCCTTCGGCGAAAATTTATGTTTGGAATTTACAACAAAAATTTGCAATTAATTTGGCTAAAAAATGCAAAAATTCAGTTAGTAATGAAGGACTTAAAAATTAGTTTGACAGTGGAATTCAATATTTACTAACAAAAAGGCAAAGGTTAAAAAAAATTTCATACCAAACATCTTAGTTCTAAGGATCGATTAGCGGATATATACCTGTGTACATACATAAGTGTGAAGTGAAAAAATTAAAAGCTAAAGTTAAGTAAAGTATCCTGCAATTTGTTTTTCGCTTCAAATGGATACAAAATTTAATAATTATCTTATTCGCCCACTAGCTTAAATATACATATCGTCGTTTAAAGTAAAAAACCGCGTATCGTCATTCTGCAAAACCGCGTAACTGAGATTTACTGCCAAAAATTGGATTTGCTCACACAAGCTCCTTATCCATTCGTTCTGGAATATACTAGCCAGAAATGCAATTGCTTTATCAACAAGTAATTTTTAGCAAAAAAAAAAATTGACTTCAACTCTCATATAAAAAAAAATATATATATATATATATCTCATGATCCACTGATCGGATCTTAACCGAAATCGGTTGACGCGGTAACATACATAAAAAAAAAAATAAAAAAAAATAAAAATAAAATATTTCGACGAACTTATAACCTCCTCCTTTTTTGGAAGTTGGTTAAAAAATTAATAGCATGCAAAGCAATCAACATTGTGAATGCAGGCTTTATCAGACATTTTTGGATAATGCACTTTAACCTATCTATGAATGTATAAGTATTTAGTATGTAGATTAACTCATCACTTGCAGTATATAAATTGCTATGGCATCCCAAACAACAAAACCAAATATATATGCACATACTACATATCGCCAACATAACATCAATATAGATGCAAAATAAATTTCATTTAGTAAGTGATAAAAATATGCAGATTCCTTCATTAAGTAACACATTATGTCATGAGCAAATGTTGGCATGCAACATTGTGGCACATGGCACATTTTTACAAATTGGCCATTCTCATTATTGACAAATTTAATGTAATAAAAATAAACAACAACAACAACAATAAAGAAAAATGCTGCTAATGATAACAATATATACGAGTACATAGCAATGACAACAAACACAAAGCAACAATGTAGTGAAGTTTGTAATAATAATCTGATTGCAACAGCATGCGTGTTTATATGTACTTATACATATATTTTTGTATGCAAGCTTGTGCTTTATTGAGTTAATGCAATTGCTTGTAGACTTAATGTGTTAATTTTACGCAGAAGGGACAACGGTTGCCTATTGCAGCAATTTACGTTGAGCAACTGGCGCGCGTATGGCATGTGGCACAATACAATTTCAATTCAATTACTTAATTACCGCACTGCAGCAGTGAAAGTGAAAATGAAATAAATACACTTACATATATACGTGACATATGAAGAACAAACGAGAAAAAAATATAGCAATACAGAATTAAAATCGGCCGAGCACATATGTACATATGTACTTATGTATAGTGGATTGCGAATTATTGCAATTCTTGGCAACCAGTGGAATGGCGATAAAATCTGAAGCATGCGATAAAAAATATATGCATACATACGTACATATGAGTGTCTGTTTTTTGGTTTTGCACCTGGAACTTAGCATATACATAACTACATATATGATTATATATGTACGGAAACATTGGCCAAGACCTGATTCACCTTTGCAGGTTTCTTTTTTCGATATCAAGACCCACACTGTCGCACCAACTCTTCGCTAAGCTTTTACCTCCTTGATTGGCGTCGCAGAGGGTACTCCCGTAACTACCTGTGCCAATTATTACTGCTATATTATCCCTGGCAAGGTTGCTATTATTTCAGGGGGTTGTAGAATTGCTGGTTCCACAGGCTATCCATTTACAGATAGCACTGTGCGACAATTTGATGACAATTCATACCAGGCCGGACTTTGCTAATATTTTCTGAACCTATCCAGCAATAAAACACTCGATGAATTTGCAAAAGTTAGCTCGTATATTTATTTTATGGCCTACTAAAGTTTTCATGTCCCTGACTAAGTAATTTTCAAAAAAGTGGAAACAACTTCTTAAAATCATTGTCTAAGCGAAGTTAAAGGTTAAGACGTATACAGTAAAATTGTATGGGAAATATTTTCATAGAACATTTTAATTCATTCGCTCCGGATTGAAAGGGTCTCCTTGAGTCTTAACTCAAGAAATCCTTCAAAAAAAGCAAATTTGAAAGTTCATTAGAGAATCTCGAAAATTATTCTTCGGAATATTTTACTAAGGGTCTTCTCAAGCAAAAACTTCATGCCACCAAAGTAAAGTAAAGTAAAAGTAAAAAGTTAAAATAAATGGTATTTCTATCGCACTGGGGCCCTCCATCTTTCTTGCCATTTTGCCAACACCAGCGGATTCAGAGTTGAATACTTTCAGAGCTGGAGCGTCAGAGTCCATTCGAACGATATGGGCAAGCCAGCAGGAATTTTACATTTTTTTGTTTTGTTTAAAATTATTTCACCATTTTCATTTATTTATTTTTTTTTTTAATTTGTGTTTGTCTTTAATTGATATTTCTGCTTACTTGCTGCGTACAATCCAATATAACGCAGATGGCTGAGTAACCAGGCAACCGTGCCGTGCCCGTCTTTTTCACATTCCCAATGCGCCAATTTCAACGTCGCTTCTCGCAATAAATAATACTACATAAACGAGGCAATTTCATATCATCCGCAACCCCTGATTCTTCCGCGCTTCATTGCATTTTTATAACTCAATCGCCTACAGCTGCAGCACCTGTTTCACGCTAGCTTATGGACGTCTGTCCAACTACATATCTGCCACCGATATGCAGCCGGCGAGCGTATTTCAATTGGCCCTAACTGAAATTTGCATACGTTGCATTTCGCAACACCTCACTCTGTATGTATCTCCTCACACTCCTCCGACCGCTTGATTTTAATTCTGTATTTCTTCCTGTCTTTAATGTTTTGCATTTTTATGATCAACGATTGGGTAATAAACTTTGCCATTGAAGTTGACACGGCTGCTGGAGCTGTGGTTTTGCAGGAGCAGCTACTACTAAATATGGCACTGCAGCAATGTGGAAAAAAAGCGGTGAATACAATTAAAAATGAAATAACCCAGCATGTGATTAAAGTTAAATTAACTGCTGCATTGCTGGTGTGTAACCAACTTTAAAACCAAAACAACGACAATAGTAAAAGCAACTTATTGTACTACATACATAGCCACATATGAAATGTGTGATAGGGAAATTGTCGATATTTTCAATATACATAAAAACCACACACATATGTGCAATTATGTATGTACAGAAGGGTGGAACTTATGTTTCAGGCTTTCTTTGGACTCCGACATATTTAAGTCAAGAAAACAAATTTTCTGTCAATTTGAATGAATTTTCTCTTGTTCCCCCGCATTGCCTTGAGACTACATGCCGAAAATCTTTTTTATGGTTTTGAATCAAAATTCGACCAATTAAAGTCTAAGGCTTTTTCTTTGAAATTGCCTTATAAGGTCTGACGCTTGTGAGCAAAGAATAACGCGAAATGTAAATAAAGAATGCTTAAGCAGCCGCGAGCATATACGAGAGCCTGCCACCACATAAGCCCTTCCAAAATGTGAAGGGTTGCCCGAAGTGGTTCAAAAAGCTACTACGGTTGAGCAACTGCCTTTTTTTATAGCCAAAGCACTGTGACATTTGGCACAGAAGTTAAAAGATAACATTCGAATTTGACCAAAAAATGATCTTACAGCACTTACACTACCAAACCAGGGTTCATGAACAAAACAGATTCTTCCCGAACAGCTGCAAGCTCATCTCCAAAAAGGACTTCCCTAAGATATGCCTTTTTCAATACCGAATTTCAGCTTTGCGAGGCGGTTCTTTCCGCTAAAAAGGTGGGAAAAACCAGCAGTCCAACCAAAGTCATGCCAACCCATTGGTCCCGCGGCTTTTTATTAAAAGCTAGGCAAGTAATCATAGACAGGCATCTCAGGTCTCTTCTCATTTTCAAGAAACTCCACCCCAAAATATAAATTGTGTTAATTGAATCGACTAACATTCGTGTTCTAGGTTTAAGAAATACTTTTATAAATGTGTACAAATGGTATAAAAATATACTGAACAAACGTAATACAGGTGACCAATTTAAATATAAAGGGCATAAATTCCACTTTAATATTTTCAACACACCGTAGTGAATATTTTCTACATAGAATTTTTTCCTTAAAAATTTGGCCCACCCTCAGTTATATATATTTAATTCCACCGCGATTTCATTTATAAGTACTACACAATTTTTTGTATTGCTCTGCAGCTACACTGCATTGCGGACGTAAAATTATTGCTGCATTTTTACTGTCGAGTATTTATTGACGTTTTGCAAATGCTTCACAACTCAATTTTTTTCGCAAGCAAATATTTTCAGAGTTTCCTTATTTGTAGTGTTTACTGAGTAACACATTTAACAAATTGCGATATTTGGATATTTAATGCCAGCAAAAATATATAACTGCAATTCGTTTGCATCAGTTGCCATTGAAAAAAGTTATATGCCCATACATATGTATGTATGTTGTATAAGGATATAAAAGCAGCCGCATTTTAACGGCTTATTTTACATATATACTAAATATGTATTTGTACAGATGGCAATTAAAATTTCCATTTGCTGGCGAGTACGCCCAAATGCATTTCAAAAGTCTATTAACACATTTTTAATGTTTGCGTATTGACCTTCGTGTTGCTTAACTCTTACACTTTAACAGCTTTAACAATTTTATATAATATATTTTATTGCATTGCAAGTAGATTAAAGTATGCATTAGCTTACCATTGAAACAGATGTCTGTGATGATCATCCAGATCAGTGCGAACAAATTGAACCACTCATGAAATAAACGCTCTCTTCTGCTCATTGTGGCTTTTTGGGTTTTGTGTTAGTAGGAAGGAGTTCGGAGGGTATTGGTGAGGTGTCTGAAAAGAATAAAACAATTTTCAATTTATTAAAATAGTCAGCCATATTTACGCAGTTGCCATCTACCTTAACTTTATCTACCAAAATTATGCTTGCCTACTGGCCAAATATATTTTGCAAAGCACATTGACAGAGACCCCCTTTTCTAAACAAGTTGGTCACCTTATTTAGGTAGTACGCTTTGCCAAGAATCTCTCGGTGGCAATAATATAATGCCTTATGTTGACCAGTTTTCGCTATATTTTTTTTCTTTAATATTTAATATTTTCTTTTCATATGTCAAGCTAATTAAACATACAATAACACCGTGCGATAGGCAATTTTACACACAAAAATCAATATATTCGCGAATTCATGGGCCAAATATATGCAGTAAAATTGCGTTTTAAGTTTTTCTCTCTGACGAGAGGATTTTTTAAAAAGAACTTTGAAAATTGAATAATATGAGTAATTCAGAAAATGGTTAAAAAATTTAGTGCAGTGTACTTAGGAAAACAGTATGGATATCAAATTAAAGGGAAAATTCTGTAGAGAAAGAACAGATTAAGTTTGTTGATTCATAAGGTATTGAAAATGTCCTTAAAAATTGTATCCTTGAATATCCTTGAAATTTTGCAATATTTATTTTGAAAAAATTATATGTTAAGGACTGATATAAATTCGACAACGTCCCCGAATATAGTCTTTCTAACTTTATTAGCTTAAAAAAATAAAAATGTTTATAAGGGCATTTATGATATCTTTGAAATTATAAAGTTCTAGTAAAAAAATTCTAAAACTAAAAACGCTGTTTTACTGTATTAGGCCCATAGTGTCTTGAGTATATTGATTACTTGGTGTGTTTTGATTTTTTTCTTTACTCAGAATTTTTAGAAAAAATTTAGGTACGCAATTTTATAAGTATAGCCCATTAAATTACAGGAGGATAAAGTGCAAGTTTAAAGTGACTAAAAGTAACGTTGCTTTTTATATTTTTTTTTTGTTGGAGGTGTCACGCAACCTTTTATACAAAAATTTAAATATTAAATAAAAAAAATAAATATAGGCTAAACTGGTTGAAATAAGGCGTTTCTTTTTTTCTGCCACTAGTATTATGAACTTGCTTTTTTCGACATGCCTTAAGTTCATTTATCAGAAATGTACACGCTAAAGTATTGTTAAATGCGTATAAATTTAATTACTGTATTTTGTTTTGTTACTAATGAAATATTTTTCAACTTAAATAATAAAGTAAATAGGTTTCAAACCCATTTATTTATTATTTGTTATATGGTGGGACAGCTTCTCAAACTATATTGATGCAATTATTTCATGTTAAGTTGTTGGAAAATAATGAATATCTAAATTACCGGGACTAATCACGGGATCCCGGCAATTGCTAAGGTTCGTAGACAAATATCACAATGTGCTATCACAATGGACCCTTGACTTGTGCTAAATCAGGCTGATTATGGCAACTTAACTTAACTTAACGGAACGTAGATTCAAATCATGAATGAAACAGATTTCGGCGTGGCATTAAGTTACGTTAAGTTTCGGATGTTCAATTATAAGCAACACCCATTTAACAGCATTTTTTTTTAGAGAGAGAGCCGTAAGTCCTAACATGCAAACATCCACATTTTTAATATTGGTAAGAAGTTTAGATACAGTTAAAACCCTGTATCCTGTGTATATCTACAATTATGACACTTCACCTTAAAGTCATTAGATTAGAGGCACTATCAGACTTAAAAATTGATTAAAAAAAAAAACGTTAATTGACAAAAGTACTGGTAGATACTAACTTACGGCATTAGCAAGCAAAACCACCTGCAGTAATTCTGTACGACCCAACTATGGAATGAATGGATGAATTGGTTATTTTATTTTTAGTTTGTTGATTTCCAACACTTTTGTCGAATTCGCATTCCATGTCCATCCCCAGCTATCAGCGTTTTCTTCGCTTTGCCTTGCCCTACTTACATTTACTTGCAACAGCATAGTGACTTTTATTGTTGTCATTGTTGGCATTGTGTTAATTTAATTGAATCAAGCTATGTTCACTTTATTGTTTCCCTTTGCAGGCTTACAATTATTTATATCATTCTTATTGTGGTAGTGCATATTTAGTTGTCGCCGCAAGAGGCAATGTTTCTTCAGATTTCGAAGAACAGCTTCGTCCGCACAGTCAGTTTGTTTTTATGTATAATGGTTAAGCTTGAAAGTACTGTGGCCATGCCTATTACTTGTTGTTGTTGTTGTTGTTGTTGTTGTGGGTGTTTATCAGCAAATGAACAAATAAAGGCTTTAAAGGAGTAACGGAGAGTTAAGCTGAGTCTGACGTTGGCGCTGGCGTCAGCTGCAATGTCTAAGTCTTTTCCTATCCTGCCTGTCCTGTCGGTTCTGTCTGTGTCTGCGATGCACAAATTCCATGCGTATTTTAATCCCTTCATGACAACGTTGAAGAGCTGCAAACACTTTGTTGTCTCTCATTTGAATTTGCATTTGAATTGTTTGCATGTATGTATGTATGTGTGTATGTAAGCATGCGCTTTTTCCAACCTGTCACTGCTTTTGTTGCTGCTGTTGTCTTGTTTTCTGGTTTTCTCTATCATTCTATTTATGTACGCTTACATAGGCATACATACATATGTATCTATATACATTAGACTGCATCACCAAAAAAGTTGCGGTTTTTCCGCCGGGATTACAAAATTTATTATATTTTAAGAAGTCCACCAAAATATTTCGGAAAAATATTAAGATTTAAGCGAGCTGGACCGATTTGAAAATGCCTCCAAAAATAAAGTTTTTTATGAATAAAAATAGTTTCTTAAAGAACTTTTTGAAAAAATTGCCCTCAAATGACAAATTAGATGAAGCTTATAAAATCTGCATAGAAATATTTGAAAATCTTTTTGATGCTGTTTTTCTACTTTTTTCAAAGATTGGTTTCCAAAAAACTTGAATAACTGGGCCAAACACATTCTGATTTAGACTTATGGGATCTCAGTAGAAAGGTATTTTCACACTGTTTTTATTTCTGGCCAAAAAAATGTCATTCGTGTCCCATCTTGTTTTTCGAATACCAACACATCTTAATTCAACTTTGAATGACGTTCGTTCATCCTACCTTTCTCTTCCATCCTTTGAATGAGTTTATATGCAAAGAAATAAAAAGGGTGAGAAAATACCTTTCTAAGGACACCTCTTAAGTCTAAATCGGAAGAGTTTGGGTTCAGTTATTCAAGTTTATTCTATACCAATCTTTGAAAAAAGTAAAAAAATAGCATCAAAAATCTCATCATTACGATTCTGTTAAAAATATTATTTTCGTTTTTTTTAAATATTTTTATGCAAATATTTTAAGCTTAAACCGTTTTGTCATTTGAGGGGATTTTTTCAAAAAAAATCTTTAAAAAACAATTTTTATTCATAAAAAACTCCATTTTTGGAGGTATTTTCAGATCGGTCCAGCTCTCTTAAATCTTAATATTTTTCCGAAATATTTTGGCGGACGTCTTAAAAAATAATAGATTTTATAATTCCAATGGAAAAATAGAACCGATTTTTTTTTTGTATGGGGAGTGGCGCAGTCTAATATACATACATATGTATTTACTATAACCAGTTCTGTTGGCACTGCTGGCTTGTCTTTATTTAAATTGCATTAAAATTTCAAATTTCTTTTGCGGTTTGTTTGACAGAGAAATCTGTTGACGGTTCGTTGGCCAAGTTATCAGGTTGAACTGGAGAATCCGACGTGGCATTGTTATTACTTACGTTCTATGCAATGCGATGCTAGGCATTGTGTGGTGGTGGTGGCATGTTATGACACGATTTGACCCCTTGATGGCAAACAACGACCGGTGGCATTAAGCATTTTGCGACAAACCACAACAACAAAAAATAATAAGGAATAATATGGAAATTAGACGCAAGATTTTTATGCCCATTAAGGTGCCACATCCATGTACCAAAATTTGATGAGCTTTTAAGCGAATCGTAAATTTTTGGAATATTTTGTTTTATGACTACCGCCTAGTTTTGGTTTCACAAAACTTTTTAACTCATTCTACATAAATAAGTATTCAGACTCAAATGGAGGGCGTACTGTGTTGCGGGAGAAGTGTAAACTGAAAGGTCCCGCGAACCCAATCAGTGAATTACTAAAGAGATGATGACTGTCTGAAAACGATAAAGGTAGAGAATAAAATTCATCAAAATAAAATTTAAAATAAATAAAAATTAGAAGAAAATTAAATTAAATTAATTAAAATATAATAATAAAAAAATAAAAATACATAAAACAAGTTTTAAAAATTTAATTAAAATGAAAAAAGATATAGATTTTTCTTTAAAAAAAAAAAATTTAAATCTAAAAACATATTTAATTAAAAACCAGAAAAGAGATTGTTGAGAGAGTTGGAACAAATTGGCGGCTTTAACTAGTTGCTGAAATATCGGAGTTTTCGAATTTCGTCATTTTAGTCCGATAAAAAAATAATTCCAACATATTAATTTTGTGTGCCAACGTTAATAATTGTACCGAGTTACGCGCAAAAATAATGTGCATGGCGTAACCCGGGCTAAATTTTCTCAGTCAAGAAAAATACCCATTTTCTGCTGATCTTTTTGCTATAAATATTTAGTGCTAATTGTACCGAATTTTATTTTTTTTTTTGTATGGCAAGTGATGCACCCTAATGTACGTACATATGTACGAACATAGTGCTTTGACCCTAAGGGCAGCTGATGCTGGTAGTACAAATACACTTTTGGCTTGAAGGGCATTACAAATTTACGTTTTGCGGCTAGAGTTATTCTTTTGACTATTCTACTTCTACTAGCAAAGCCTACTACATTTTACCCTGCAGCGAATAGTCAGTTGTACTAAGTCAAGTTGAGCTTTGAGTTTCAAATTAAAATGCGCCGCTCAACGTTATGCAAATATTTCCAGTACCATTGACAGTTGGCACGGTGAGTGGACCGATAGATACAAGGTGGCTGGTTTGTC